AAATAAGGGTACAAATGTCAATTTTAAAACGATAGCGACCATTTTAGCAAAGAGTGTAAACGTTGGTGACCATTTCTGCTAATTCTTTTTTTATTCACAAGTTGTGTCCCTATGTATTACCAGCATTAATTCAAGCGGTAAATTTCACGGGACAAAATAGAAAATAAGGAGAAAAATATATTTAAAGCTAGAATTAATGCAGGAATCAACATTCCCAACGTTGTTTTGCCTCTCACATATTAAAAAAACACAAAACAATTGTAAATTTTAAGACAATACATACCATATCAATTAATTAAACAGTGAAAGTCTGTCTGAACACTGAACAATTCGTTATCTAACAATGTACTGCACTGTATTTGGGGGTGGTGGGTGGGTGGATGGATGGATGGAGTGCTAAGGCATGAAGAACTTGTTGTCACACTTGCAACGCCAAGCTTCTGGATAATACTCTAATGGAATACTGAATCTTGGCTGAATTGGAACTTGAACTGGTTTACATGGTAAACACTGTCCACACTTGGATCTACAGGTGGGTGGCGATGATCCTGGGCCGCCGAGTCGACGCTGGGGCAGAACTCGCTCCACCACCTCCTCTTTGATCTTCCTCCCTCCAAAACCAAGAAAAGAATAGAAATTTATTAACACAGTAAAATGGCTCAATTAAATACATGTAACAGAGATTTGAATCTACTTACCGAATTGACTAGTAGTAGGGTTGAGGCCAAAAGCTGAAACTGAAGTAAGTAGAAGAAAAGCTATTGTAGCAAAAGAGATTGTACATTGGTGGTGGTGGCGCAAAACGCCCAACGCCATTTATGGTGGTGCACAAACTAGCAGCTGCCTTGATACGATCTGTCTGTTTCTGTATAAATATATATAAATAGTGATGCTAAACGCTAAGGGGGTGTTTGGTAGGGATTAAAATTAGATTTTTAGTAGATTGTGATACAAGTTTTTGAAATGTGTGGTTGAAAAGCTGTGGGACACATGAAAGATTGTGGTTAATATTAATTTTTTGATTTTGACTTAAATTAAAATTTGATTTTAATTCGAAACAAACAGGGCCTAAACAATGTTGCGTGTGAAGGTGAGACTGGTGAGTGCATTGTAGTCAAATTAACTAAGAGGGAAACTTACACTGTAAATCTATAAGAGGAGAAGACAGAGAGAATAGATATATACAGAGAGAGAAATGGATAAATATAGATATAGAGAATTATTCGCACTTTGAATATTCAAGAAACATACTGCACTCGTCTGACAGAATTTTTAAAAAATTAAAGCCCAATTTATTTCGGATTAAAATCGATTTTTTAAGGACCAGTTTGTTTCGAATTAAAATTGAATTTTAATTTAAGTCAAAGTCAAATAATTAATATTAATGGTTCCATTCCACAGCTTTTCAATCACACATTTCAAAAATTTCTATCACAATTTACTAAAAATTTAATTTTAATCCTCACCAAACATCTGCTAAAAGTTATTTCTTAAATTAAGTTGTTTTTTTATCATAGTTGGATTATTTGAAAGTATTTTGTGTGTTGAGAAGAGTTTAAAAAAACAAACTTAAGTAGAAATAAAATAACAAACTCTGTCAAACATGAACTTAGTCAAACATGGCAGATTGATTTTTTTTGTTGTTTTGCTTTATTTTCTTTGTTTTGCAAATGTTTTGTTGACTTTATTCTTGCTTTAACGTTTCAACATTTGTTGTCATCAATTGACATACTTGAGAGGCTAATCATTCTTTTAGGCTGAAAATAATAATAATAAAGGGGGTAGACTGAAAATAACACGACTTTCCAAGAGAATTGTAGAAATAGGAAAAAAATATATATATTAAAATTTATTTTATGTTAAAAAAGAAAAGAATATCTAAATATTTTTTGTTGAAAAAAATGTGTGGTAGGGTCCTTAAAAGAATATAATCGATTATCATTTCCGGATATCTCACTGTCCTTGACATATGTACAAACTAACACTATTTCTATGCTTTTTTCTTCAAGGGGGAAAGATTATAGCAATATGGTACGAGGAATGATAAAAAAATTGGCAAAAAGAAGTTAAAAAATAGGGACTTGAATGCAATATTTAGAAAGTTGGAGGGGGAGTTTATCTGATGGGGGACAAAGGACTGATGCATTCGTGTGGTATCGTACGTCTGGGGTATGGGGAGTGAGTGTCTTCTACGAGAAGAGCATCAGACGAGTCAAAAGAAAGTGTAAAATTCACCATTGTTGACACCTTTTTCTCCTCTAGA